ATTTTTCCTCCATCTGGATGCTTTCTTTTTGATTGTCTGCCTCCCTTCCTCCTCTCACCTCGACTTAAATCATGCCTCTTTTCTCATTGCACAAATAGTTTTAAAAAAATTTACCTGTGCTTAGTGTGCACTGTTTAGATGGGGTTTTCTGCAAGACTGCTTCAGCAGTAAATCTGTATAATTGACCAGGCTGTTTGTGCACCTTTTACAAAAATCAAATCAAAGAAGCAACACCTGGTGTAGTCCTGCCTTTACACCTTGCTTGTGCTCACTGTCTTTAGTTGTAGTAACCCATTGCACACTGTTCTTCTGTGCAGACCCAATTTCATATGATTGTGCCTGATGATAGTGGTCAACACACACACACACACTGGTGTTCTCCACTATGCAAATACCTCCTTCTGTTCTTCTGTGAGTGGTGCCTTCCTCCCCAGTAAGAAACCAGTTGGTCTCACTCCTTGTTTAACAATATCTCCAAAACAATTCCCAGTGGATATGCCAGGAGGATGGACTTGATCTAGAAGCCATTTCAGGTCAAATAGTTAGTGACCTCTCACATAAAAACCAAATGACCTAGATACATCAGAGTTGACAAAATCTTATGTCTCTGTAACACCAGCATCCCTGCCAGACAATGTAAAGATCCATGAACTTTGAGTTTTGAGGGTGATTGACCTGACATGGACTAATCTATCAATAAATACTTGAGCTTTGGCTTACTTTAAATATTCTGTTTTACCTTAAAGTATGAAAAGAACAAAAGTGTAACAATTAACATTTATTTGGTGACCTAAATTGTGAATAAAAGTTCAGTAGTTCTTTGCATTTAGTTCATGCCATCAAAGCTTGAACTGTCTTTGAATCTAGGATTAGAGTGTTTTTTTAAACAGTCTTCCAGTTTTCTGACAGTCAACCCAACATACGTGTCCCCATATGTAGAGTAACAAAACTCATACATGTTATAGTTCAATGACCTGGATAGATGTTGTTGAATGGTTTCATTGATGTTAGGATCTGTAAAGTTGTTAGGGTAATTTTAAATTGGATTTTAGTCTGAATAACTTGCTGTAAAATTTCACAGGAACTTGTGACTCTGTGTGTATGGAATATAAGACATTTTTTAAATTAAGTAGAATAAAACAGTTAAGGTGGGTATACGGTCCAATGTAGGTAGGTTTCTGATAAAACCAACATCAAAATGTCCTTCTTTGTTGAATACATATGTGTCAAGAAAAGGTAGAGCAGAACACTGTTGGTGTTCTCCAGTGAACTTAATGTTAACACATGTCTAGAATTCAGATATTCTACAAATTTGACTAATTGATCTTCATTTTTGAGTATTACAAATATCTTATTAACACAGCAATTATAAATAAGTGATTTGAGCTCAGTAGGATAATTCTTCAGCTAACATTATCCATTACAGGTGCTAAGCTAGACCCCTTGCTGACTCCATCAGTAGTTTCATAAAATTCACTATTAGACTGAAAAACAGTATTTTGTGGTTAGTTCCACCAGTTTTCTGAAACATTTTCTACTTATTCCAATAACACTTTCTTTGTGTTTGAAAATATGATTAACACATTGGTTACTGTTCTCATCCTGGGGAAGGTCAGTGAACAAAGATTCAAACCTTAAGTTTTTAACATTATTAGAAAACTTGAAGCTGTCTCTCAGTGTGTAAGTACTAAAAGTAAATTCTAGCAAGAGAATTTGGATAGTTTGCAATTAAAATAATCTTTGTTGGAAGCCGTAGATCTAATGACACAAACACTTTAACATCAGCAAAGAAGAAAAGATAGTCCTAGACATGCTTAAAGCTTAAATCCAAGAGTGTAGTTGTCATTACCACACCAGACATTTTGAAAAAATGTAGATTACATTGACAAAGTAATACAGGTAATTAGTAACATTAACAAGTTTTCTAAACTGGCAAAAGACCCTACTACTTCAAGAGAAAACAAACTGATTAAATTCTTGCTAAATTTGAAGAAACTAATACCCCTGTACAATAATACTTATAATGACATTAGACCAGTCAGTTTCATGCAGGCAAACAGGTATGGGCTACCTAAAATAGGTTGTTTTAATAACAAACTTTCCAAATTCTTATGTTCAATTTTAACTGAATGTAATTTTGATATTTACACAGACTAAGATCCATTTCAGAACTTAACTCCTCCTTGAACAAGATTATGTATCCTACCATCAGGCCCCCTAGTGGCACAGCGGTATGTCTGCGGACTTACAACGCTAGAATCCGTGTTTCAATACCCATGGTGGGTAGAGCACAGATAGTCTTACAACTTAGTTAGGTATTGAAGGGCAACATGACCTCAGTTATTTAACTTTGTTATGCAAGCAATACCATGCATTTTCTTTATTAGGATAGAAATGTAAATTTTTTCATTTATGTAGTTGTATATGTGACTTTTGTGTAACACGTAGGTCAAGAAAATTGTTAAGTTCCTTTCATTCTAGTTTACTATTGTCCTGTGTAATTCATTGGAGGTAACACCTTGCATGCTTGGGGAAGATAGTTGTAAAGATATACATATTATGTGAAAGCAGTCATACTGATGTTTGATGGTGCCCTGTGTGACATACAAATTCAACTTCCCAAACCCAACCCATAGTTCATGTTGTTAGTCACTTGTACCCCCTTTTGAGTTGATTTCTTGTACAAACATACCACTTGCACTATCCATGATACAGCCCTATGTGAAAGTAGACAGCAGTTTTTTTCCATTGGTAAGTCAAATGATACCTCAGATGTAGAACCTTCCTTATTTTCTAATGGGAATTAGCAGTCACATGCAAAGCACTAGTCATACTAGAAAAGTATGATGTAATAGTTTCAAGTATATAATGTGATTTTTTTTCTCAGACTGGAGCAACTTATGCAGATTTCTGACGAATATAGCCTGAAACAAGTTCTGGTAGATTAAATAACTTTTACATTTCAGCTCTCCAGTAAAGGCAACTGTCTTTTGTGTTAAGTACATATACTGTTGTTTGTGAACTGAATAAAGATTGTTTACTTGTATTTTTGCATATCCAGTTTCTCTCTTGCAAAAACTCGGTTCAAATCAGAAAAATTAGAATTACTTCATAGTTAATATTGTGTTGAATCTCCTGTTAATCTACAGAACTATCTTATTCATTGTTGGAAGAATTCAGTTTTATTTGAGAACACCACAGTGTATTAACAATGTGAAAAATTCTTGGGCTTTTATAATATCAGAATCTTTTGTATGAAGTAAGTAGCTCTTTATCATTATACTGATAGATAGTTTTTATCATTATACTGATAGATAGTTTTTATCATTATACTGATAGATAGTTTTTATCATTATACTGATAGATAGTTTTTATCATTATACTGATAGATAGTTTTTATCATTGTACTGATAGATAGTTCTTTATCATTATACTGATAGATGGTTCTTTATCATTATACTGATAGATAGTTCTTTATCATTGTACTGATAGATAGTTCTTTATCATTGTACTGATAGATAGTTCTTTATCATTGTACTGATAGATAGTTTTTATCATTATACTGATAGATAGTTTTTATCATTGTACTGATAGATAGTTTTTTATCATTGTACTGATAGATGGTTCTTTATCATTATACTGATAGGTAGTTCTTTATCATTGTACTGATAGATAGTTCTTTATCATTATGCTGATAGATAGTTTTTTATCATTATACTGATAGATAACTCTTTATCATTGTACTGATAGATAGTTTTTTTATCATTATACTGATAGATAGTTCTTTATCATTGTACTGATAGATGGTTCTTTATCATTGTACTGATAGATGGTTCTTTATCATTGTACTGATAGATGGTTCTTTATCATTGTACTGATAGATGGTTCTTTATCATTGTACTGATAGATGGT